AAATTTTCACCTGCAAACTAAAAAAAGTGCCAATGTATCCTCTATTTTACATACTACAAGATTACAGTCATATACTCAAATAAAATAAGATTTATGAAGTTTTGTGGAGGGGGAGTCAAACTTTCATGGGGGGAGTCAGATTTTCATGTTACACCGGTCCCTTGCTCGCTTTACCTCCACCTGGGTGAGTATACACTGTGTATGGAACATGCGGAAAAAAAATTTTTTTTTCTCAAAATGGAAAGTTTCGCAAAGCTAGCGCAGCCTATCAGGTATTTAATAATGATAGATTTAAACTGATATCTGCATATCAGGAGACCAAGGTGACCGATTACTCATAAATAATAATTTCTCCAGGTCTTGAATCTTTCACAGGCAGATTTCTATTCTATTCTATATACATTTCTAGACATTGTTTGAACAAAGCTCCACACAAATGTAAAACCCAACAATGCATCTCCCACTCCCATGTGGAAGTAAAATTATCAAGGGACGGGCCTCAGAGGCCCAGTTTCCAGGAAATGTGACTAACTTTTGGAAAAGTTAATTTCTACATATGGTGTAAAGTATTTCAAAACTAATTATTTATCCATTGATGGGGTATAAGGTGCTTGAGGATTACATGAAAGGAACAGGCTCAAAACCTCATGTGAACGAAGAGAGAGCAAAAGATACATGGGTCCGGGCCTGCGAGGCCCCTGAAAGGTGGATGAGGGTTAAGTTATCTAGATTTTATTCAGATTATAGGAAAAAGTCTGCCCTTTAATGTTTTGTTGACCTTTTGGGAATATCTGCATTTTCTTAAGGATAAATTACATAGAAAGGTGTGAATTAATAGTAAAACTTTGCTCTATTTGCAGGCATAGCTATAAAAAAAAAACTCCCTAAAGTTATAATATATTTTTATTAACATCATAATCTATGCCAGTTTAGAACACTGATAAAGTCGATTTATTAGGATACAATTGTTAAAACTAATAAAAACTAATAAATGTTACATTAGCATGATACCAATTTATTCCTTATCCTATATTTAATCCTTTATTCTTATTATTTTAAACATAAAAGAAAAGTTTGAAAAAGGGCTTCGTAATTTATCCTTAAGGAAATGCAGATAATACAATGAACTTTTTTATACTTTTTACACACTAACAAATGGAGCCCTGTAGCTGCACTCAGTCAAAAAGGGAAATCTCCAAATACTGATTGAATTTTATTGAATTCAAACGTAATACTGAAAGAAAAATAAAATAAAACAAAATAAATAGCAGAACAAAAAATGTAGCAAAAAGTGAAAAAATACTGATAACAAATTAAAATACAAAATTACCTAAAAATTGATAACAAATTTACACAAAGTACATACGAAAGTGTAAGAAAAAGGATAGACGGAAACGTTGCAAAGAACCAAAGCCGGAGAAGTTTACGTTATTTTAGCGTTGAAATAAATTGCCTTATCCACGACCAAGTGTGCTAATATCATTATAAAAGGATAGATAGAAACGTTGAAATACCCAAAGCCAGAGAAGTTTACATTATCGTTGAAATAATTACCTTTTCCTTGGACTGGGTGAGCTAAAATGGTGTCATTAGATAGTGTCGTTAGATTCCCTGTGTCGTTCTGACTACGAAAGTGAAGTGAGTCAAAGAAATAGAGAGAAAGCCTTATACATGTTGTGGAATGAAAACTGTTCAGTACAGGGTGTGGTACAGTCATGTGACGGTGCGGTTAGGTAAGTGTGGTGGCCTGTAATGTTATAATTAGTAGAGCGCGAGAGAAAACAGAGAAAGAAAGGAAAATGTACTTCGCATGAATAATAACTAAACAAAGAACAAACTCAAATAAAAAATAAAAATAAAAAATAAAAAAATTAAAAATATCGCGGGCAGTTACAAGCCCACCTTTAATTTTACATTTCTTTAGTAAATGTTACTAAATCAATCTACCACACCTGTAAGTATCATAATATGTGCCTTGATTTAAGACATTCCCTGCACATGCCATACAAACAAACTGGCAGCTTGGCCAATTAACTTGGTCAATTAACTTGCCCATTATGCTGTTAACAATGCATTGACACCATAAAGAATGGGCCCAGCCAGGGTGTAATAAACATGGGGTCTGGGCTTTTTATGCATAGGACTAGATTTTGTCCGGCCTTTGACATATATATATATATATATATATATTTATATATATATATATATATATATATATATATATATATATATGGGGTTTGAAAGAACCGCCCCTTTTGCTGAAAAAAGGTCCACTCTCTAAAATTTGATCTAGGTACATGAAGTTTTTATGGGAAAAGGTCCAAAAGGTCCACTTTTTCAGAAAAAGAACCCTTTTCAAATTGCTGGCAACGGGCCTGTATATATATATATTTGTGTAGGTGTGTGGAGATTGGTTTTCTAATTTTATCTTTTGATGCCCCACAAAAGATTGTATGTTGCTGCTGAATGGTAAATACTTTTTGTTGTAAATGTTGTAGAATGTGACAACTAAAGCTAAGGAATCTTTCCTAATGGAGACATTAGCTCTGGAAAAGACGTTTGAACTCTTAACTTGTGAGTACAGTGAGAGTAAAGAAAAGGAGTCCTATGATGTCAGCCTTTTGTTGGACAGGTTTGAGACGGAGTGGGAGATGCATAAAGATTCTCCTAGAAAGGTTGGTGTTTTTGAGTTTTATTTTTTCTATATTGTGCAACAAAGAAGTGTACACTATAATAAGAAGACATTTAAAGCATAAAGAGAATGTATTGTGACGATAATGGTAGATAGTTGTGAAAATATCAAAGTTTTTATTAGATAATGACAGAGAAAGCTATAATAAAAGAAGTCTAAAAACCCTTTTGCATTTTAGGTTATTAAGTATGTGAAGTTCCTCAAAAACAAAACAGAATATGTAACATACGCCTTGAGTCCTAAAATGACAAAGGGACTTGATGTGTTTGTCTGCAAGATACACATAAAGCAGGAAGTATCCGAGGATCAGGAAGAGGACATCAAAGAGATGACATCCACCGAGTTTGACATCCACTGGATGTTACCAGTAAGTTGGTAGAGAAACTTGGGTTACTCTAATGTGATGATATATTATCATATTCTCAGTGTAATACTGTATTTGTATGATATCACAGTTACTGTGACAATATACAATTACTGCATATATTATTCAACCCAATCATCGTTCATTTATCCCAACTTCGGGTTGAACCTTATCCAGTAGTGACAGAAATGCAAAGTCTGTAACTGTTTTGATTCGTGTTCACAAGTTTAAAGATAATATACTTTAAACACACTGATAAATTATTGATGACATTAGCACATACAGGGGCAGTAGAGATCCAAGGTGAAGAATGAGGTAAACTTGCTAAAATGATTGACCTCAGGTGACTGTCTCTCAACCAATTGACAATCTTCAAAATTCATGATTATGCAAGAATTTTCAGTAACCACTTTAGTTTTGATAAATAGAACCAGAATAGTTGGACACCTCCTTTATAGTCTTGAAGTATTTAGTTAAAAAGAATTACTATTGCTAGGCCACTCATGTAATGCATACTTTTTGTTATTTTTTTTTCAGTTTGCCCCCCCTATGGACTTATACAATCTTGATAGTTATTCTGGTGGTGCAGAAAGTGTAAGATCTGCTCCACAAAGGAGTTCACACCCATTGCCAGGAGGTGAACTGCAGAGGCATGGTGGCAAACTCTTTCAGCCGAGACCAAACCAGCAGTATTACCAGCAAGACCAATACCTACAGAATCAACCTAGGTTTCAATCCAACATTGGTGGTCAGCAGGAATACTTCCAATCTCAAACAGCAAGGGAGATGGCTGTACCAGGCCAATACCAAGCAAATCCACCACCATTTCTACCCAACTTTGGCAACCAAAGGTTGCAACAAGGCAATTTCCAAATTCAGACACCACCTGGTGAGTCAACAGGACCAAATATACCCTATCAGCAACAAGTAGAATCCCAGCATAGCAGACTACCTCAGGAGCCAGTCACTGACCTCCATCTGCAGGAACAAGGTGGTGACCACTTTCAAACAAGGAGGAAATCAAGCCATGACTTCCCATCTTTACCCCCACAACAGGACCCTGTGGCTGCTGAGGATCAAGAACAGCTTGTTACTGACCCTCGGACTATTAGAACAAAGGGAAGCCAAGTTCTTAACCAGGCCCATGGGGATAATCAGTTAGAAAGATTACCTACGGCAGTGACACATGGGATTGCTGGGGTTCTAAAACAGCTCCCTGCTAACACAGGCAACACAAATGTTACCCTCAATTTGCAACTGGTTAACCAATATTATAACTCAGAAAAGGCAACAATGACACACATGAAAGAGAACGATGTGACAACATCTTTTCATAAACATATTCCTCCACATGTGAGAAAACGACTGAATGAGACACTTTGTCAAAATGATGTATGGAACCAAGTAAAGAAGATGTATGGCATTTCAGATGAAACCCCATGTCCTCCTGATGTTGTGACTTCTTTGTTGTCTCAAGTTCAGGGTTCTATTGCATCTTTCATCAGTGTGTTGTTAAAGTTGAAAGAATGCCGCAGAGAAAGACAGCAAGACATTCCACAAGACTTGATTAATGAAGTCAAGGTAATTGATAATATGGTCTAAAATATAGTCAAATAAAGTAACCAGTCTTTAAAATTTTAAAATGACAATTTGTGTTTTGACTCCAAAACCATTTTCCACATTTCAAACATATTCTTCCTTTGTACTATCTTAATTTTAATTCAACAGAGTTTTTCATTTCTTCATATTCCAAGTGAAAGAATAAGAACTACAACTAAATGTATGAGACAATGGGCTGGCTGTTTGGGATTATTAAGTGAATTGTTAGTTGTTTACACAACATCATGGTTTGAATGAACAGAAGTTGTAAATAAATGTGGCTTACTATATTTCTCTTCTAGAAAGGACTTCTGAGTGAAATGGAGTACAACAGACTAAGAGACAAAGTGGTTGACTTTGCTGAGGAACTTTCGATTCATATAGAAAGAATTTTAGATTACCTGTATCAGTTTAGTGTAATACCAGATGAGGAGACAACAAAGCTTAAAAATGATGCAAAGAGAAATCCACAAGAAGCTTGTAGAAATTTGTTTAAAGCACTCCTTGCGACCAGTCCTAAAAAAGAGCCAATTAAACATCTGAGAGCTGCATTCAGGGATTGTGGTCTTGGGTATCTGGCAGATGAACTAGAAGTCAGCTACCAGGACGTAGAGGATGAAATACAGAAACATGGAAGTGGCCAACCTTCTTGTGAAGAGCCGTTGGCGATAGGAATGTCAGCTCCCCCCACACCTGCAACAGGTGAAAACCCTATTGGAGAACATTAAAACTGTGTGTACAGTATTTGACAGTATGTGTCAAGATTTTTATGCTATTTGGGTCACCGTGGACTAAGAACATATGGTGTATTACCACATATATTGACATCAGACAAATAAAGTGACTGTTTGTATTTACTGATTTTGAACAAGCTTGCTGTTAAACTACAGTGAGGAAGACGTTCATATTTGCAGTTCAGCATCAACTGTGACCCTAACTTTTAACAGGAAGATGACAGAAATTTTAAGCAAAACCCATTGGCCCATGAAACCATCAATACTGTTAGGGGACTTCAATGTTGATTTGTCTTACAGTAGATCTAGAGCTCCTACAACCTCTGTTTATGTTCCTCTTTTATAATACCACCAACAAGTTATTGTCTCACCAACATTGAGGTGTATCAAAGACACACTAGTGTTTTTGACCATTTTTTTTTTTTTTATGTACAAGGCGTAAAACCAGTAGAAACAGGTACACTGCACCTATTACAGTGCCATGATCCTGTATATGTTATTATACCCATCTGTTTTAACTAGCTTATAAATTACTCCTTTAGTTCATTCCCACAAACAAAAATGGATATTTGTAAAAAGCACTGTATATATGTTAAAAAGCATCCATATGTATTTTATGTAAATATATTATGATAATGTCAACACCATGTAATTTATGTAAATATATCCCCTTAAAGATGGCAACACTACAAATACGTGGGAAGGTGTTTTAATATGTAAAATAATAGTTTGTAAAGTATAGTTTGATAATTTTACTAGTGTATGCATGTAAGTCCATTTATTATTTTGATATTATTCAAGGTGGATGTTTTTATATGAAGTATTGTATTAAATTATATTTACAAGAACACTGTATATATGTAGAAAGTTTTAATAAGCACTTTATGTTGATATATATTCCCTGAAAGAAGACAGCACCACAGATATTTATCAGGCCTACCCAACTACCAGACTCGGCACATAAGGTTCCTGAATTAACCGGTATATCGGACCACACTACTCGTTTTCAAAGGTGTGTGTCAGATCGCATTTCGGAGTATCAGTCAGAACACTGACAGGATGAGCCTGCAGTTGTCCTACAAAATTTGTTCTGGGGTATGATACTCCAAAATGCAATATGACACACACCTTGAAAACGGGTAGTGTGGTCTGATATACCGGTTAATTCAGGATCCTTATCATGTGCCGAGTCTGGTAGTTGGGTAGGCCGGTTTATGTGTGCAGAAAGTTACAATATGTTTCATGTACAGGTATGATATTATAGTATACTTTGTTCTCATTCACAGAGTATAGATTGACAGATATCTTAACTTGCTTGTTTATGTATATAAGTTCATCAATTAGTTTTACATTACCCGTTGTAGATATTTGCATATTTAAATTTTTTTGTATTTTTTAACACTGTATATGTGTAAAAAGTTTTAATATGTAAGTTAAGTAAATGTATTCAGTCAACAATATGAACATCATATATCATATCTTAATTCAGTATATTTATATATTCCCTCAAAGATGTCAACAGCATAAATATATATGTATATGGAAAGATGTTACAATACGGAACATATTGAATGTATTTGATCTAATATGAACATACATGTACATTTATGTATATTAGTTCATTAATTAGTTTTAGATTATTCATGGCTTTTATTAAATCACCATAAATATATACGGAAAGATGGTTCAGTATCCAGCATATGTTAAGATATTATAAGGTCACTTACAGAGAACTTAGATTGAAAGATGTTTTAATTTAATAGCTATTGTACGGGTGTGTATACGACTTCATTTATCAGTTTTAGGTTAATTATGTGGCTTTTGCAAAATTACCACAATATGGACCTTGCAAATAAACTAATTTCTAATTCAAGTTGTCTTACTTGTATCTTTAAAATATAGGCCTTTATTTCGCCTTTCTTTTATGATACTTTATAAAAGCAAATTTATTTATTTAAAGAAAGGGAGGGTTCCAGATGTCAGCCACTGAAAATGATAACACTTCAATACAACATTATAGTCAAAATTGCTGAACAGATCACAGTGCTAAAACGTATTTTGATAAAAAACAATCCTCAGAGAGACCACTAGCCTCCAAAAGCATAACATGTTCACCGTGATACAGCTGCTATAAAAGGTAATTGAAATGCAGTCTAAGAGAATATCTTATTCCAATAAACTCTATATCTGGGTACCAATGTGTTATTTGCCCAATATCTAAAGTAGCCTCAATTCCCAGATATCTTCAGAGAGAGAGTAGAGCGTTTGCCTCTGCTTTATAAACACTGAAACATCTTATTTTAACTTCTTCAAAGTTTAGTTTCCTGTAAACAACACAGATACGGGGGATTTTTATAAAATAATAATAATAAAAAAAAAACAAACATAATATTCGCATAAATAAAAAAAAACATATTTGATGATCTGTAGAAAATATAGAGCCTAAAAGTGCATTTATCAACCTGAAATGTATTAAGTTGAAGCCGTTTGTTATTTTGTGTGTAAACCTGCACATAAATACCAAGTACATCGACTGCGTATTCTTTTTGTCTCCCTGCCGTGTGTTAATAGATATGTTTGAATTAGAATAATAAGATTGTCTTACTCAGTGGCGGATTTAGGGATGGGGGTTCAGTGGGGTCCTGACACCCCCCTCCTGACACCCCCCCCCCCTCCTTCGGTTTTTGTAAAAATATCACAATAAATATTACCTTTTTAAAATTAGAATTTTAAGTTGCTGATTTATAGTTCTTAACCGTTCCAAAAGACACCGTTTGGCATTCAAAACACCAAAATATTTTGGGGCCCTTCAGTGGTCCCCCAACCCCACCACAAGGAGGCTGAGGGTCGGCTTCGAATCCGAGGTCTGTCATTTGTAAAAGACACTGACACCCCCTTCAAATCCTGGATCTACCCCTGTCTAACCACTTGTATAATGCGTTCAGGAGACAAAAATTGTGTCTTCTTTGTAAAATTGTTTGGCAAATATGCTTAGGCGGGGATGTTTTTTGTTCTTTATCCTTTACCATCTACGCCACAGATCAAACTTGAATGGAGTCATTAGGTAATCCGGCATTGCGGCATGAATGGCATACTTCTAAGCAANGACCATATTTATGTACAGTACAAGGTGTAAAACCAGTAGAAACAGGTACACAGTGCACCTATTACAGTGTCATGATCCTGTATATGCTATTATACCCATCTGTTAAAACTAGCTTATAAATTACTCCTTTAGTTCATTCCCACAAACAAAAATGGATATTTGTAAAAAGCACTGTATATATGTTAAAAAGCATCCGTATGTATTTTATGTAAATATATTCTGATAATGTCAACACCATGTAATTTATGTAAATATATCCCCTTAAAGATGGCAACACTACAAATACGTGGGAAGGTGTTTTAATATGTAAAAGAATAGTTTGTAAAGTATAGTTTGATAATTTTACTAGTGTATGCATGTAAGTCCATTTATTATTTTGATATTATTCAAGGTGGATGTTTTTATATGAAGTATTGTATTAAATTATATTTACAAGAACACTTATATATGTAGAAAGTTTTAATAAGCACTTTATGTTAATATACATTCCCTGAAAGAAGACAGCACCACAGATATTTATCAGGCCTACCCAACTACCAGACTCGGCACATAAGGTTCCTGAATTAACCAGTATATCGGACCACACTACCCGTTTTCAAAGGTGTGTGTCAGATCGCATTTCGGAGTATCAGTCAGAACACTGACAGGATGAGCCTGCAGTTAATTCAGGATCCTTATCATGTGCTGAGTCTGGTAGTTGGGTAGGCCTGTTTATGTGTGCAGAAAGTTACAATATGTTTCATGTACAGGTATGATATTATAGTATACTTTGTTCTCATTCACAGAGTAAAGGTTGACAGATATCTTAATTTGCTTGTGTATGTATGTATAAAAGTTCATCAATAGGTTTTACATTACCTGTGGTAGATATTCGAATATTTAAAATTTTTTGTATCTTTTTTAACACTGTATATGTGTAAAAAGTTTTAACATGTTAGTTAAGTAAATGTATTCAGTCAACAATATGAACATCATACCCGGTATATCTTATCTTACTTCAGTATATTTATATATTCCCTCAAAGATGTCAACAGCATATATATATATATATATATATATATATATATATATATATATATATATATATGGAAAGATGTTACGGAAAATATTGAATGTATTTGATTGAATGCATATGGACATACATGTACATGTACATGTATGTATATTAGTTCATTAATTAGTTTTAGATTATTCATGGCTTTAATTAAATAACCATAAATGTATTTGGAAAGATGGTTCAATATCTACAGGGTACCATATGTTAAGATATTATGTAATCACAGATAATTTATGGTGCATTCCCATAGATTTAAGTTCGATCTATCCCCGTGGGGAGTCTCACTAGATTACTGTCAGATAATTCGGCTTAAATGTCCATCCCGCTTACTACAAGCTGTAAGGGGGTAATTAATTTTCGTGTCCGCCCGGCTGACAGCTATTTAGCGTGAACCCCCAGGGAGTTAGGGCGATCTAGTTGGATTGATCTAAACTCTGGGAAAGGGGTCTTAGACTGAAAGATGTTTTAATTTAATATCTATTGTACTGGTGTGTATACGAGTTCATCTGTCAGTTTTAGATTATTTATGTGGCTTTTGTAAAATTGCCACAAAATGAACCTTGCAAATAAACTAATTTCTAATTTGTCTTATATGCTTTTATATCGCCTTTCTTTTATGATGCTTTATACAAGCACATTTTATTATTTAAAGAAAGGGAGGGTTCCAGATGTCAGCCACTGAAAATTATAACACTTCAATACAACATAATAGTCAAAATTGCTGCCCAGATCACAGTGCTAAAACGTATTTTGATAAAAAAAGAATCCTCAGAGAGACCACTAGCCTCCAAAAACATAACATATGTTCACCGTGATACAGTTGCTATAAAAGGTAATTCAAATGCAGTCTAAGAGAATATCTTATTCCAATAAACTCTATATCTGGGTACCAATAGTCATTTGCCCAATATCTAAAGTAGCCCAGATATCTTCAGAGAGAGAGTAGACCGTTTGCCTCTGCTTTATAAACACTGAAACCTCTTATTTTAACTTCTTCAAAATTTAGTTTCCTGTAAACAACACAGATATGGGGAATTTATATAAAATAATAAAAAAAAACAAGATGCACTAAATATTACCCTTTTGAAATTATAATTTTAAGTAGCTGATTTATAGTTCTTAGCCGTTCCAAATGGCACCGTTTGGCATTCAAAACACCAAAATATTTTGGGGCCCTTCAGCGTTCCCCGAACCGCATCACAAGGGGGACGAGAGTCGGCTTCGAATCCGTGGCCTGACATTCGTAAAAGACACTGGTCAACATCTTTCGTAATAAGTAAACCCAAACTTAAAATAAGCACAAAAAAGTCACGGGAAAAAAATAAACTAGGAAAGCCTCTCAAACAAGGCCTCGTGCACATCATCATCATGTTTGGGGACTGGCGTTGCGTAAGATGACATACATCTGTACGGCACCCGGGCTATCTATTGTAACTGTAGATGTAAACATATACAACCAAGCTGGTGTGATAAGGTAGAAAGCTTCCATTTGTTGTAAATGTTATCAACGAAGCTTCTGCGACTCCGTGGTAATTCCACTGTCTTAAACACACGTATTCCTTTGCACGTGGGTTCCAATACTAGAGTTCTAAATGCAATATTTTTGCTTAATAAGATTTCTGAAAATTGCATTTTATTACTATAAGAAGTAAAACGTATATACGGTGGGCGGTGGGTCAGACACAGCGCTGTCGTTAACGTGCGCGGTTGCAATAAATAAATAAACAAATAAAAAATAAAAATAAATAAATAAAAATCCAAAACGGTCATCAACCGTGGTAACAGAAAGTCACGAGTTCGAGTCCCGGATAACGCATATCAGTCCGTCACAACAACGACCTGGCCCTGCAATCAGGAAGTCACGGGAACGAATGCGGGCTCTTGTCGGTCTGGGAAAAAAACAAAAAACTTTTCTATAAGCCGGTATAGTTTAGACTATGTGATCAACTTGGCAACTTATTGCTTATCATAAAGTCTGCGTCGTCAATAATATTTCCTTTTACTTTACTTTTAGTCTTTTAAATTATGCTTAGGTGGGGATGGTCTTTGTTCTCTCCCCTTTACCTGCTACGCCACGGATCAAACACGAATAAAGTCAGTAGGTAATGGCGGCATGGTGGCATGCATGTCATACTTCTCAGCAAGTTTTTTTTTTCAAAAGTCATGTCGCGTTATTACTTTACCCAATCATTTTGTTCTTCCATGTCCACCCCAATGGTTCCCTGCTTATCAGAACTGTTCATATGATCTTACAGTGCCTGGGGAAAATCCACAGTCGACATTTCAAAAGGCAAAACTACTCAAAACTTAAACCGCTTTCACAAGTGCGAAACGCTTTGGCTCTCATCGTGCTCTATAACGTCACAGGTGCAGACAAAATCAGTGTAATTTCAGTAATCTGTCATTAATCTCTCTTGAATTAGAAATTTAAATTTGATAAGCTGATTCATAGTTCTAAACCGTACCAAACGGCACCGTTTGCCCCCCCCCCCCC